CTGCATTCTCGCTATTTTACTATGTTTTCGTCAATTCAATTATGGTTTATCCTAAAAGAAATACTGAATTTATTATATATATATATATGAACGCGCGCGCGCGCGCGTGTGTGTGTGTGTGTGTGTGTATGTAAATAAATTGCTCCAAAATTAAAAAATTAAAAAAGGTTTCAAAGTTTTATTAGGAAAAATAATGCGGAATGTAAGAATTAATTCTCTGTCTTCGCGAGTTTTGTGAGCTTTCGCGAGGCTTAATCGCTTAATCGTCACGTGTCGTCGCAAATCATTGCGAATTTATCACCGCGATATCGCGAATCTTCGCGTCATTGCGAGCCATTACAATCGCGAAGACGACGATATAGCAGCGATATAATCGCATGTAAATCGGCCGCCGTAGCGCGCGCGACGGCGCAGCGAAGTTGATTGCGGAGACGAGGGTGCCGAGGGTGGGTGACGGTGCCGCCGGTGGTGGTAGTGGTGGCGGTGGCGGCGGCGGTGGCGGTGGCGATAGAGGATTACGGCGAAGGGGCGCGCGGTGAAAGGCAGAAGGCAGACGGGCGGCAGACACCCTGTGCTTATCCCTACCCCGACCCACCCCGGTCCGTGACTCACCAAACCGTTAAAGGATGAAGCCGCCCTGCTTTCACTCTACGCGCGCTACACAGACGCAAGCAGGTGTACACAAGTACACCCTCCCGAGAGAAAGGGAGAAAGAGAGACGAGAAGTGGTGCTTTCGAGTGAACAAGCATTGTGAACGCAGCGTCTGTACGCGACGCGCGTTTATGTACGTCTGTGTGTACACGTGTGTGTGTGTGTGTGTGTGTGTGTGTGTGTGTGTGTGTGTGTGTGTGTGTGTGTGTGTGTGTGTGTGTGTGTGTGTGAACGTACATAAAGGGTGGCTGTGGGAAGCATGGACTTAATTACAATGATTAAATTTTTCTAGGATCAATTTGGAGCAGACTTAATTGAAACACTAAAGTAGGCTCGATTTTAATATCACAGGCGTTTGAAAATCAAGCACTCTTTGAAAGTTTTTACATTATGCGTTGATAAAACAACAGATTACGAAAGAAAGATTAAATTATAATATGCAATTGAACATTCGAACGAATTTTCAAAAAATTGTAAGATTTCAAAGATTTTCCTTCAAATTTTAGAGAGAATTTAGAATTTGGTTATTAAAGTATTTTTTAATGTAAAACATTGGAAAAATATTAAACATGTTCTATAAGAATTCTCTTTTTTCAAGAAGAAATTAAGAGAATATAACTTTTATTAACTTTTAAATGGAAAGTTATAAGACACCCTGTATATGAATGAAGTCCGGCGCGTAATTTCTAGTACATGGCAAAGGGGAGAGAGAGACAAAAAAAGGCAAGTCTGGGAAAATCCATGCAAACGCGACATTTTTATCGTGAGCACCGGAAATTAGCAGTTATACGCACTGTGTTGCGATATACATCAACGTTTTATTTTCAGGATACTTTCTACTCATAAATGCTAATTGCTCTTTCCCTTTCTTTCATAATTTTTACGGTTAAAATTTATTCAAACAAGAGTATTCGCGATTTACCAACACCTCAAGTGCAAACAGCTATAATTTTAATATCAAAACCTGCAAAACTTTCTGGTCCTTTGCGTAACGCGAGAAAATGTTACTTAAACAATTCATATTTGGAATAAAAGCATCGAAAGTTACACAAATTATGATCACGTATACGACATCTAAATTACATTCTATAACTCGATTTAATTTTATATTTATTTTTTCTAAATTATTTATATTCTGTACAGGGCACACATTGAACGGTCAGCCATTGTTAGAATTCCCGATGTCGAGCGGCGAACCGGCATTGGAACCTCTGAGAATCAAAAGGGCGACTCTGTGGGCGAGGGTCGAGCTCAAGCATGCTCATCATTATCATCGTCACAGCCAAATAAATCAAAGGAATATCACTCTGTGGGTGTTCAGAGTGCACTGTGGTAATACAACGCATCTCCGAGGCAAGGTAAGTCATCCCTTGATAACTTCGTATATAAGAATTTCTTTAAAGAAATACGATTAAAAAATAAACTTTAGCTTTCACTAATCTCTGTGTCGGTGATGTATAAAGATCTCGTCTTTATTTTTATTTTTTTTAATCTTTTGAATATGTATTGTTTCCACTTTGTTTTAAATGTTCGTAGAACATTTCATCAATAAAGATATATATGTATTTGTTTTTGTATATGCGTATGTACAAATGTATGTGAGCGTCCGCAATATAATTAAGTGTGTAAACCTTCAACAAATTTTTAATATCACGTTTATTCTTTAGTTCTGAATTTAATTAAGCACAGCTAGGAAAATTCAAGCAAAAAGTTCAAGAACAGCTGAAAATTATCTGAACAAAAAAAAAAACAAAAAATATTTTTTAGCAATCTAATTAATCAAGAAAGATGTTACTCTAACATCTTTCTTATTTCTAGAGTTCACAAAAATATGGTTTGATGTGGTTCAAATAAAGCTTTCCTTATCTGAGATAAGCTTTTCAATCTGTAGGAACTCGGACGACACCTAGAGATGGTGACATCTCTCGTGGTGAACGTCGGCCAGCTCGGCTGGCAGAAATTCGATGTGACGAAGGTCGTCAGCGGATGGTACACGAACTACACGACAGATAAACTGACGTTGCTCGTCGACTGCAGCGGGTGCGGCTCGTACGTCCACGTATCGACCTTCGACGGGCACTCGCCGCACGTGATCGAATCATCCTTAAATCCGAAAGGTAAAATCTGAAAAAAATCTCAAAATATTCGCGATAGTCTAAGCAATCTACACCGTTGATTGGAACATCGTTTTGCAAAGTAGAATGTAAATTTTTATTAATTATTATTATTTTAATTTCTTTACCTTTAATAAGATAATTTTTACTATGTTAGTAGACATATAATACGACATATAAATTAATATTCTTCAATGATTTTCACCTTTGCAAGATGATATTTTCAAGATGATATTGTCAGCTAAGATTTCAAATGTAATTTACAGAGAGAACAGTTTTGCTGGCAAAAATTTGGCCAGATACAGATCTGAAAATAATTTTGTTGGATTGTCAAAATTATTTTACAGGACGCTTAAATTAATAATAATATTGCAAAAATTTTTTTATCTTTTAGCAATCAATCTAAATGTTATACATATAAATTTTGAAGACTCAATAAAACTATTTTCGGATCTATATCTGGCCAAACTTTTAGATTTGCCAGCAAAATCATTTTTTCTGTGTAATAAAATAAAAAATTCTGATTTTAATTAATTTTTAATCGACAATTACGAGATCGATAATTGTCTTACTCGAGAAGTATTAAAGTATTTTCTTAAAAAGTATTTTCTGATCTCGATCGCATCGTCGAAAAATGTAACTAGTCCGACGTGATCGAAGCAAAATTCTGTGATTGTTTACAACACAATTAATTCTCATAATTTCAACACAGTTAATTCCCATATAGAAGTGAGCTGTAATTAGAATAGATCCTTTTTCAGGCGATCACGATCCGGATAGGCCGTTTCTAGTCGTACGTACAGATCCAGCGGCCGTGAAGCGTGTTAGAAGACGAGCGATCGAGTGCAACGGCGCGATAAAAGGTCAGTGTTGCAAGCAGAGATTCTACGTTAGCTTCTCTCAGCTTGGATGGGATGATTGGATTATCGCTCCTCAGGGGTAAGTTGAACGCCAAAATAATCCTTATATTAGAATAATCCTTAAATGTCACTCACATTCGGAAAAATCATCAGTTTTCCCATTTAAAAATTTAACGAAACAGATTTGAGAATAAGAGAGATTTTCTTAGACCATCCAGATAATTATGTTCAATTTAATTGAACATGTCAAAATTTTTTGCAGTATTATCATCACATTTAAGCATAAGTAATAATAATTTTAGTGTCCCAACATAATTATTAAATTTATATCTGGTCCTTCTAAATTTTTAGAAATCCCAACAAAATCATTCTTTTCGTGCATATATTAAATGATAATGATAAATGATACGATGACTGCGATAAAATTTCCAGATGTTTAAATATCCAATTTTCATCATTTGTGAAAATAATAATGTTAATCCTAATGCTAGGAGAGAGAGAAAGAGATTTAATAATATGTTAAAGAACACTTTTGCTGAAATATTAAACATTTGGCCAGATCTGAAAATAATTCTATTAAACTATTTAAAATAATTATGTAGGCTTTTCCAACTTTATTAGAAGAATATAAAAAAATTTCAACACAGTATTAGTAACATACTTCAGCCTTTCTTTCATGTTCGAGCGTGGTATTTTTTGTATGCTAATATCAATTTTCTTGACAGATATTACGCCAATTACTGCAGAGGAGACTGCGCGGCTGGTCACAGGACGCCGGACACGTTTCTTAATTATTACACCCACGTGATCGAGGAATACCGGAAGATGGATCGACTCGCCGGCATGCAACCGTGTTGCGCGCCCCTCAAATTCTCGCCTATGTCGCTCATCTACTACGGCCCGGACTCGAACATTATCAAAAGAGATCTGCCGAAGATGGTGGTGGATGAGTGCGGTTGTCCTTAAAGACGCCGGGAGACGGAAGAGCACGATCAGAAGAGATCGTGTTGCCTTGTAAAAAAAAAAAAGAATAATAATCGCGGAATGATAAGCCGCGAACACGGACTCGGTCCGAAAACCGTCCGAAGTCTGCGAGAGTTGTCTCGCGTTAAAAACGGAAAACCCCGGTGAGGGATGAACCGGAAGCCGATCCAACGCCGAGCGAACGGTACTCGAACGGTAATCCGCGCGAGGGTGGTTTCCCGAAAGCGATCACTCGAGGGTAGACCGTCATGCAAAGATAGTCAAAAGAGCTAGGTAATTTTTGCTAGATTGTTCGCCATGCCAATACGATTTCGAACACGATCCGAACGCGTGACGATAAAATAAAAATTGGCCTTTCTATATACATACAAAGTATAGAACGGTCGAGGATAGAGTAGGATCTTACCCGTTGGTAATTTGTAAAAAAAAAAAAGAGAGAAGAAGAGACACGGCGTCTCGGTTTCAAAGCGTCGTTTACGATATATACATACATACATAATATATTTATCTATATTTCTTCGATTTATTTGTACGTGCGCAATCGTAAAAGGCAGAGAAGATACGTGAGAAAATATTTAGAGTCGGTATTCTTACCCAAGAGCTTAGTCTTTCTTTATTAGTTGCGCGATGACAGAGAAAAGAAGAGAGAAAGGAAAAGAATGAGTGAGAATGAAAGAGAAACGATAACGATTAAAACGATTGAAA